ATGCCCCCAAAACTGTAAATACATCTACATTTGAATAGGTCATAGTAAAAAAAAAAAGAATTCTAACATTTCATTACAATGTAGTATTATTTAAATATGTAGCTGTATGTTGTAAAGTTTCCAATCAATCCCATATAGTTAATCCAAAATGTCCCTCATGTATGTGCTTCTTCAGGACAATATTAATACGGAGCCTTTGCGAAGGTCGCCCAGACCACCACAACTGGATCTTCACCAAAATGAAGCACATAAATAAGGGACATTTTGAATAAAAAATAAAATGAACAAAAATAAATTTATTGGAAACTTTACAACAACATGAAGCTGCATATTAAAACAAAACCTTTAGAATGTTGACTCTGATAACTGACAAACTACTCTAAAAACTGACAAATGTCTGACATCCGACACAGACTATTGACTCTGTTTGTGTGGATTGTTGATGGGGTCAACTATTGTTTGCTGGATACTTGACTAAAGGAAGGTGACAGTTTTGTATGCATGGACTTAATTGAACTGTGTCCTAAAATGTACACTGTACTACACATTTAGTTTACTCATTGCAGGATAATGTGCAGTGCTAGTGACAGCACCAACAATGGGTCTTTTTCAAGTGTGCTTTTTTTTTTTTTTAATGCTACGAGGTACAGATAACGTTTTAATTAGAAGCCCTATTTCAAGCTTAGGGATCAAAATGTCAACTGCTGCTGGAATAAAAGACACATGAAAAAGGACCCATGGTGGTACTGTTACAAGGTCTGTATTTACAGTATACCAGTAACTTGAAGCTAAAGCCCATGCTACTACATAGATACGGAGATGTACGATTTTGTGGTATAAACTTGAAGTGCTGTGGGAACTTTGTCATAATAAACAACTCTGAAACAGATGCATTTTACTACAACCACACTTTTTTTCCACTTCAAATTCGTATCCATATTTGTTCTGGTCAAGGGCACATTACAAAGTAAAACTAGCAAATTGTAAACACTAAATTGATATTTATAGAAGGATCTAAAAAGAAAACAAAAAAAACAAAACATACTAAAAATACTAGGTGCTGGTCTGAAAGTCAAAACGAATGGCATAACGCAGCGCACTTAGTTTTGTTATTGTGTGGCGCAGTTACGCGAGGTTAACTGATCGTTACCTTAATGCGGCCCCACAATAACATTTTGTTTGATATCATGATGCTGATTCACTAACACAATTGAGAACCTTCATTTAAAACATTGAGTGAATATTCAATTATTCATTCATGTGAAAAGCATCTGCGCATGACTGGGTATTCAAATTGAACAGGAATTTGCTTTTCACATGAGTGAATATTCATTTAGTAAATTGGTATGTTTAAGGATCCCTACTTTATAAAGTTATTTTCCATGAAAACATAATTTAAGCCAAAGGCTAATAGTGCAAGTAAACCTATGGCGAATCCAAGAGCGTATTTTCTACTTTACAAACATAATGCAGACCGCAGTTTTAAAAACAGAAAAATTCCCAAAACCATGAAAATTTAAATTCCTTGGCTGAACAAAGTACCCTTCTTTTTGGAAGCTATCCTGCAATGGAAGATAACAGTTTTTACATGAATTTAGTGCATAAAACAGCATATCAAGGCATTTCATAGGCACTTCACATTAGGCAAGTTTTAGTGCAGCATTAGACATCTCTTCTTAAACGTTCTGCAGGAGTATTCGCTTGTCATTTACATCTCAGATGTGAAATATTTCCTGGCTGTAATTTTGATCTTCATTCGCCGCTTTCACTCATTGACCCAGAACGAGCATGCACAGCCACAGTTAAGCCTGTACTAATTTTGAAATGTCATACTTCTTTAGGTAATTGACTTACAACATATTAAGCTATATGGTCAGCATGACAGTCAAGCAATTTGTATTTTTAGTAGATCAGCCATAAAGGCATACATATGTATTTTAAGACAAACTACGTTTACCATACCAGAGGCTTAATGTGAATCTACACATGCACATTAGGAATCAAGTGTGTGATATACGTTTCCTTAATTCGTGATGTGTGTCTGCTCCTGATGTCCACATGACAAAACGCGTAGGGCGGGGCTACACCTCATGATACACCGCATAAATTTGTGCTTTGGTGCATTTTTGTTTCTCAATTATTTTTGCTGAGAATCCGGGTGTGAAATGCAGTACCCTGTACGGTTTTAATAAAGAGGTCTTATTACACTATGAGCTTATCTTTTCTCTGGTCCCTGAGCATCATTTGGATACCAGAGGATATCTCCTTGGAAAATTGTTTGACCTTTTCTAGTAATAGAGGGTCACATTCTAGGGTGAGTGTGAATCCACCTGGGGTGTCTGTATATGACACAGGGTAAATACTGAGGCCTGCAAATGGATGCTATGAATATGAATATTTGATTACAAGGTGTTGGGTTGACACCGTTTATGTGGATTTTTCCTCTGAGGTGTTCTCAATTGTCATTAAAACATTGAAATATTTTGTGTCCAAGATTAAGAAATAGGGAATATTGTTTTCAATTTGTTTCATTGTAATTAAGAATATTGTATGTTTATATACAGTCATGCTTTTTTCAGATTGTGTAAATTCGGCACATTATATATGTGCACATTGTGTACATTTGGTAGTTTAGAGTTAGTTTTGCATTTTGGGGTAGGAGCGCCACTATACATTTCCCATTGTTGATATCTTGTTCAGATATTTAAGCAGCAGCTGAGGTTTAGTACACAGTATGTATTATTTTTTGGGAGTTCTTCTAGTGCTGTATATATATTTATATTATTTGACTTGCCATACACTCCCTTATTTATTGCAGAACTAATCATGATTGATCATAACTGGGCAAAGATTAAAAAAATAAAAATAAAATAGGCATATTAAATTTTTAGAAAAAAAAAGTAGTAGGTTTGTGAATAATGCTTAATTCTTTACATAACACATTATTTTATATAATGCAAACATCTGCAGAGAACATAGAGAAACAGATCCCATTTAAGAACAGGCCTGGCACTGCGTGCAAATTTGGGAGGTTATTTTTGGGAACGGGATTTGGAAAGGGTATTTGTGATGACTATGATTGTAATGTGAGAATTGCCAAATGTATTTGAATAGCCTAACGACATACTGAAGTGTCACCTAAAGCTTTGTCTCTATCATCGGCACAGAACAGAGAATTAGACAAAGCAGTTTAAAGCTGGCCATACGCCTTACAACCATTGCACGACTTTCGTTGTGCGATGGTTGTAAGTTAATTAAAATGTTGTACGACCTGCCCATCTTGGACAGGCAGATCGTACTTGCGATCATCGCAAGCCCTCCCCGCTGAGTGGAGGGCTTGCCGATGACTGCAATGCTGAGCGGGCAGTGTGCGCTTGCGCACACTGGCCCGTGCGGCTTTCGTCTTCTGAGCACGCTACCAACCTGCCGAAAATTTTCGCCGGGTTTTCCAGCGTGCTAGGAAGACTAAAGTTGCGCGCTGCCGATTATTGTACGATCGCGGAGTACGATAATCAGCAGGTGTATGGGCACCTCAACTTGCCTAAAAAAAAGTTCCTGCCTGAATCTCAACTTGTATAAATATGACAAATCCCCCCCCTACCTCCCCAAAAAAAATGCGAGTGTGTTTCATGGCTATAGAAGTCATTTGTATCACATAAATGACTCCATGCATGGGTACCTTAAGAGTTTGTTCACACCATCTTGAGACCAGGACATTTTTGTCTGGTCCAAAAATGCATACCTATGGTAAAATGTTTTAGGCTAGTTCACACCACTGCGTTCAGTTTCAGAACTTTAAAAAAAATAAAAATACTGCATGCACTTTTTTTGCTTGTCTAGAATGCACCAAAAAAGTAAATGCATGCAAACGCACCAGAACTCATGCACTAGAAATTCAATTGAGACTAAGAAAATGCACCGGAGCACATAAAAAATGCACATACTTGAATTTCCAGAAGCGCATGCAGATTCGGTCTAGAGATGGTGTAAACTAGTCCTAAAAGGCAAAGTCTGCCTTTTAGAAAAAAATTACATTTCTGCTCGCGCAAGGGCAGAAAAAAACCCGTCCGATGTGAAGAGCTGTTACCGACTGTTTCACATACAAACGATCGGCGGCCCTATAGCCTGCCGATCGTTTGTATGTGCTGCCTGCGAGCCCCCCTCCCACCTCCTGCACCCTCACCTTCAATCCCGGGATCCGCTACCCCATCTGCGGCCCGGGATCGGCTTGGGAGGGTGTCAGGAGGCAGATCAGCATCTTCCTCCTTGCTGACCTCCCTCCGTACTGTGAATGCGGAAGTGATATGTATTACATCACTTCTGCATTCACCTGTCAGTCCTCTGGCTAATATAGCCAGAGAGAAGAAACTGATCTCTGCTTCATCAGCTTCTTTGGGGGTCGCTAGGTGACGTTAGGGGTCTTAGAGACTCCTAATGTCTCCATAAAGAGGACCTGTCCGTGTGCCTTTGCTATTATATATGAGGATTGGTATCCCCCTATTTGATAGCAATAACTATAAGTGTAAAAAAACATTTTTTTTAAAAAGGAGTAAAAAATAAATAAGTCGGATATAAAAAAAGTAACCCCCCCCCCCAAAAAAAATGTTCAAGTCCCCCACCCCCCCA